TTTCGCGTGAGCGGGTTTAGGACTGGGCGCGGGCACCAAATTCCAGATGATAATTTCATGCGGCTTGTGTCTTCACTCGGCAGAAGCGTTTAGATTTACGCCTTCGCGGGGCGGTGAGTTGCTTGGTTGGACGGTTTGGGTTGGTCGGCGACTTGGCCGTAGTGTGATGACCTGCTAGTGTGTGAGCCCGGCTAGAACAAAAGATACCGTGGTTGATTCGTTTGAAATCTTGGCGGTGTTGCGCCGCGCGCTGCGGCAATGTTGTCAACACGCAGCTGCTGCGCGCGGAAGAGCAACCTCCCAAGCTCCTCAAAGGGCTGGGCCAAGGCCCATGATGAACGGCGCAACTGATCACAATTGGTGGGGCAATTTCGAGACTTGTTGCATTTGTGAAGTTGGATGTGTCACGCGGAGCATGCCGCCGGCTTGGCTTAGCTAGGCTGGTGGGTATGGCCCCCTCAGCCGAACACAGAACACAGGAAGCAGCTCAGCTGCGTCACGACTGCGAGGCATGTTTGGGCTGGGACAAGCGACGGCATCAAGCTGCCTCTTCGGAGCTGGGTGTAGGGTGGTCGTGAAGGGCGCTGTCACCATGAAGCAGCCCACAAATGGGCCTTGCTTGCAGAAAGGGGGAGAAAGAGCGTCGCCCACATGCTTTGGCTGGATGCGCTGCCCTTCGGCGCTCGTGAAAACAGGCGCAGTGAGCCAGCATCAAAATTAACCCACAGCGCTAGTATTTCTTGTGTCTCTCACCTTTAAGTGCCAGCAGGACCCATGCTTTCAAGAGAGTGTTAACACTGCGAAAGAATTTTCCGCAGGGAGGTGGCACGCAGAGGGGATGCGCCAACAGTGGCAAGGAGAAACACTGGCCCTGCGCTTTCATTTATAATGATGATGGTGACACTGCACACAACTTATCGCAGGCAGCTGGTGCGCAAAGACAAAACACACAAGCAAGTCGGAACAATGCTTTCACGAGCTAAGAGTGATGGTGGAACACTACGAATAACTTACCAAATTGACGAACTGCAAGGGAAACACGTTCTATCTGGAAATCGGCAAGTTGGTCACAGGGTTATAGCCACCATCCAAATTTGCCCGCGTGTGTCTTCTTGTGTGCTTCGCCGTTGGCCAACTACCACCACTATTTGCCCATTGGGCAGGTGTTCTTCTCGCGCTTGGCCTTTGCGCACCAGCTGGCTGCAAGAAGCTATTCGCAGCGTTGGCACCATCATGTTTGTGGTTCGCCCATGCGCGTCTACATGTTTTAGCTGGAAATTGGCAGCTGGTCGCAGGGTCGCCACCATCAAAAACAAACCCCTGGCGCGTGTTTCTTGCACCGACATGCTCGTCAAGCTGGTCGCCGGTGTTGCAGCCAGCAGCACTATTGGCCCGTGGGGCCAGGTGTCTTCTTGCGTGTGTGATTGCCTTTGCGCGCCAGCTGGCTGCGGGAAGCTGTTGCCACCATCATTCTTGACCCGTGAAGGCTCTCGCACCCTTTACCTGGAGGTCAGCAAGTTGGTCGCAGTGTCGGCGTTGCATGTTGGCCCATGGCTTGCGCGCTATGCCTTTGGGCACCAGCTGGCTGCAGCAAGTTATTCGCAGCGTTGCCACCATCCATGTAAGCTCGTGGAAGCATTGTTCCTTCCTGCGTGGTTCGCCCATGTTTGGCTGGAGATCGGGAAGTGGTTCCACGATCAAAATTCACCCATGAGGGGCAGTGTTTCTTGCACTGACATGCTTCAGCTGGCGTTCGTCAAGCTGGTCTCAGTGATGCAGCCACCACTATTGGCCATGGGGCCACGTGTCTTCGTGTGTGCATTTGCCTTTGAGTTGTTCGCAGCGTTGCGCCCGCACAGCAAGTTGGTCGCAGTGTTGCAGCCACCGCCACTTTTGGTCATGGGGACAGTGACAGTCTTCTCCTTGTGTGTTTCTGCCTGCGCATCTACACGCAGATGTAAATCGGAAAGTTGGTCGCGGGGTCGCAGCCACCGTCAAAACTGTTTCTTGCACAAAATGGCAAAAGGGAGCCAGCTGTCTTCTTTTGTGTGTGGGTTGGCATTTGCACGCCAGGTGGCTGCTGCGAGTTGTTCGCAGTCTTAGCTTGCGAAAGCATTGTTCTTGCTTGTGTCCGTTTGCCTTCGCACGTCCACATGTTTTAGCTGGAAACCGGCAAGTTGGTCGCAGGGCGCAGCCACCATCAAAACTGGCCGTGGGGCCACTGCCTCTTCTCGTGCATCTCGCCTTTGCGCAGTGTTGCAGCCACCACCACTATTCGGCGCGGCCACCGTCATTCTGTGCTCATGAACACATTGCTCCGGCTTGTGTGTTCCCCCTCACCATCAAGATTTGGCTCCTTCTTGGGAGTCTTGCCTTTGCACGCTGACATGTTTCAGCTGGCGTTTGCCAAGTTGGTCGCAGGGTCCCAGCCACCACCCCGATGGGGTGGTGGCCCATGGGGCCGAAGTTTCTTCTTGTGCGTTTTGCGTTCCAAATCTGGCTGCTTCAGTCCGAAGTTGGCGAGTTATCTTGGATGTCTATGGGAAAAGCACACGGGTTTTCGTCGGAGGGCAATTACATTGCAGAAGGGGGCGTTGCGTTTTTTCCACAATATAAAGTGTGTTTCTCAGACATCTAGTTTCAAAAGCGTCTCTCCAAAAATTCAACACCAAACGGTGGAATTTGGGAATCCAGTAAGAAGAGCAGATGATGCGTTCGTTTTCTGTCATCATGTAGAAGGAGAGCTGGGGGGGAGGAGAGTTTAGCACGCGCCAGAAATGGAGCGAAATACATCAAACAAAGAATCTTCATGTAGCGCAGGGCATTTCTTTGTTCCATTGCTGCTTCCCGAAAATGAGTTGAGAATCTTTTGGGGGGTTGACCATTAAAGATCTGCTTGTCAGAAGTTGTTTGATGAGCTATGGAAGGTGCAAGTAGAATAGGCCTCAACACAGATATCAGGACATGTAAGGGCCAACTGCAAGTAGGAAGCCGACCGTTGGGCGCTCACATGCAAACTAGTGGCGCGCAAAAGTTCATAAGAGAACCATTCTCCCACGCGCACTCTCCATGAATCAGTCATCCATGAATCAGTCATTGTTGCGAGCGGCTTGTTCTTCCCGTTGTGTACAATGCAGCAAGTTGCAGCGGGGGGGCGCCTTGCCAGATCCTTGTTCCACTTTGCATGCTCACAAGGGGTTGGAGGCCCATGCAATGGTCATGAAGTTGCTTCCCTGTCTTCCTTGTGAATGAAATGCACTTGCCGGCCAAGCTGCTATCTGAGCTTGGGGATTGAACTTTTTCACTGGCTATGGGTGGCTAGTAGCCCAGTTCTTCCACGTGACAAACTGAATTAGCTACTGATTTATGGTCCTATATGGCCAGCGCAGACCTGCAAGTGTAGGCAGCATTGCTTTCTACATTATCAGGGATGGGCCCTCCAGCTCCTACGCAAACTGGTGGCATGCAATGGCTGATGTGGCTGCAGGTAAGAGATCTCCTGCTTGCGCCCTCAAAACTTCACCAACACAATTTGCGAAAAGTAGATCTCTTCTGGTCAACCCGAGAAAGTCTTACACCCTATGTTCATAGACAAACATAATGGAACACTGACATGCTCTGCACTACATGAAAAAACACGGTCGTTTCATGTTTCATGAGAAACACAAAGTTCACTGAAAATCGCAGGCCTCCACCGCGTCCCACACTCTTACATCACCCTTGCCTTGCATTCTGGGGTAATAGCAAGGCGGCAGGAGCGGAAGCAAGCAGAACTCCTTACCAAGTTCAGAAGGGCTTAGATTTGCTGGGCGAAGAATTCCGAAAGAGATTTCTCAGCTGTAATCCCAAGTTTCTGCATCTGATTGGTTGGGGCCAACGAGCAAAGCAAGCCAACAAGAGCAGCAGATGGGCGGGCAAGAGTTTAGGCGGGCGAGTAGCTTGGCAGGCAAGCCGGCGAGAAGCCGGCGGCAGGCAAGTCAAGTCAAGTCAAGTCAAGTCAAGTCAAGTCAAGTCAAGTCAAGTCAAGTCAAGCAGGCAAGCAAGCAAGCAAGCAAGCAAGCAAGCAAGCGAGCAAGCAAGCAATCGAGCAAGCAAGCAAGCAAGCAAGCAAGCAAGCAAGCAAGCGAACCAGCGAGCCAGCAAGCAAGCAAGCAAAGCAAAGCAAAGCAAAGCAAAGCAAAGCAAAGCAAAGCAAGCAAAGCAAAGCAAGCAGGCAAGCAAGGCAAGTAAGACAAGCCGGTGAACGAGAAAGCAAGCGGGCAGGGAAGCAAGAAGGCAGGGAGGGCAGGCAGGCAAGTCAAGCGAGCAAGCAAGCAAAGGAAGCAGGCATGCAAAACAATCAACACAAGCAGGTGAGCAAGAAAGCAAGCCCCTTACCGAAGCAACACGGCAGGGAGGGCAGGCAGGCAAGTCAAGCAAGAAAGCAAGCAAAGCAAAGCAAAGCAAAGCAAAGCAAAGCAAAGCAAAGCAAACCAAAGCAAAGCAAAGCAAAGCAAAGCAAAGCAAGCACAGCAAGCAAGCAGGCAAGCAAGCAAACAGACAAGCAGACTAGGAATCCAACAATACAACCAGTGCAGTGACCCTAGTTTCCTTGCCGGCGTGCTTCCTACCACCTAGGAACAGCAAGAGCGCCCTTGGGCCCCTGATGACAAGCCCGCCGGTGATTCAGACAAGTCCGCCGATGGTCGGGGACCAAACGACATCAAGTCAATGAGGGGCCGGGAAGTTCCAAAAAAAATCGCGTGCAGATTTTGCTTCCGGTTGCCGGATACGTTTTCATCTGAGACCAACCCGGCCACCCTGGCACGACCCCGGAAGCAAGCAAGGCGAAGCAAAGCGCAAAACAACACAGCACAAAACCGGGCAAAAGACACCAAAGCTCTTTTTTTTCGGGTTCGGGGCCCTCTTCAACCCAAGGCCCTGGATAACACCACCCCCAGACCAGACCCCCTATTCCTATTTATTTTTTTAAAAAAAATGAAGCAACCTAAACCCGCCGCCTGGCATGGTGTAGCTCACCTCCACACCGGTGCCCAGCTCCAAGCATCCTAGCCGCTCGAGTCTCAACATTCGGCGGGGGGGCTCAAGGCTGAAGGCTCCCTAAGGATTGGGTTGGCTTAGGCTTAGCTTAGAGCTGGTTAAGGGTTGGTTGAGGGTTGGTTTACAGCGGGCTTTGGGTTGGCTTAGGGTTGGTTTAAGGTTGATTTAGGGAAGGGATATGGCTGTGGGTCATCAAGAATAAATGGAACCCCTTGTAATTGGAAATAAGGACTAAACCTGCAGTCTTCTAGTGGTTTAAGCTGGACCCATAGTCATATGACTTGGGAGTTTGCTGAGTGCTGTCTCAGTCCGCAAAAAACCAATCAGTTTGGCGGGCAAACAATCTGGACAAGCAAGGTCCCATTTTCCTGTAAAATAAACTGGAAAGGCACAGTGGCGGGGTCATCGGGGAGCCGCAAAAACAGTTTTGGGCTGAACTTTGAGCCAAGACGCCTTCTGGCACTTGCGGCCTCTGCAGCTGCTCAACCACGTCGGGCCGCACCCCCAACAGGCTTTCGGCGCACTTGCCTCAAGTCGGCTCAAAAGAAACGTTCCTTTCGTAATATGTCCAGTAGTGATAGATTCCCTTTAAAACCAACAGGGGAAAGTAAAGATTGTATTTTGATTCCCTTCTTAGCAAAATGGAAGCTTGCCAATGCGTTTCCTTCCCGAGTCACAATTGAGCCACCCTTGTGTGCCGGAATAGTGAGAAGCCACATGAATGACAAGGGCGGCCAGCTATTTGTGGTTGGGAAGTGTCCCTCAAACCTTCAATTGCCCTGCCGGCTGACTTGGCTGTCTGGGTCAAACAAATGTACCAACATGGCACCTGCAAATGGAACCAAAGACTGAAACCTGCGGTTTGCCCCAGTTGAAAGTTGAGCCACACCCACTTGAGTCATATTTCAAGGGTCGACCTCGTGCAGCACCTCGACCTTGATCTCAGATATGGCTGGCTTGGCCATATGTTTCAGCAGAAGAAACCCAGCGTGGGAGGGTGTGCCAAAGACAGAACCCCACCTGCAAGTGACTGCTTCCAATGCGTGCTGGAGGAGGGCCACCCACCACTGCCTTTTTGAAGGCTTTGAGCAGCCAAAAACAGGGAGAAAAAAAAAACTCCCCATGTCCATAGGTCCCGTGTGAGAAAAAAAAAACGGATCCGGACCAAGATTTCTGGGCTCCGTCCCTTTCAGAGCTTTCGCCGGGCCACGCCACACCTGGGTTGCCCGGGTCGCCACCTGCGGACACAAATGTTTCACGGCCCAAAGGAAGCCAACCCGCTGGGCCTTGGTGTTTGCGAAAAAAAACGACCCAAAGATCGCCGGCGGAGCGAATTCTTTGCCATCCACAAGACCCAAAACACCAACAACCGTGACTGAAGAAAGCGACTTGGCTAGGGAGGCCCTGAAAGAGTAAGAGGAAACCGTGCCTATCTTTTCTCATCAAACCGTGGGGGGAACCCTAGGTTTTCTACAACATGTTAAAACAGCGCCTCAAAACAGCACATTTTCAAAAATCAACATTTCAAGCAAGGTAATTTCCTAGTCAGTTCATCCAATAGTTTAAATACATTGTTTAATACATTTTACAAAATATACATTAAAAAAACAAAGTAAATTTTACAAAATTTGAGAAAAAAGATGTTACCAAGTGTCAAAGTAAATCTTTAAAAAACAAACTTTCAAACAAATCAAGCAATATGAAATATGTCTACAAAATTTTCAAAAATAGTATTCCAAAAAAAATGATGGACATGTTACAATAAGTTTATGATAAAAATGTGTAGAAATATTATAGGCAAGGTTGTTCTTCTTCATTTTTAGTTTTGTAATAAATAGAATATAAAATAAACTCTATCCATTCATCATTTACAACTACAATTACACCGCTTACAAAATGGGATTATATTTTCTATTATATAAGTTAATTCATTATCTTTTCGTTGTGCTGTTAGATTAGTCATTATATTACCATGTTTCATATCAAAAGAAAAAGTACAACCGCAGAAATTACATTGATTAGTGATATTATCTAAAAGCCATTGAGCATTCACATAACCTTCTTTAGGTATGCTTCTTTTTGCTTTCCTGTCCTATCCCTTGTAGTTTAAAATGTTCCTTTCAAAATAACTCATAATACATTTTTGATTAAATACAGCATCAATATCTTTATATATTTATAAAATTTGACCTTATTTAAAATCACGAGCGCGTGTTATTGCTGTGAAAATCCATTCTGGATAATTATTTGCCAAAAACTGATTAATCAAAAATTGTTATGGTGGCATCAATGCTACTACCTTGAGCAGAATGACATGTAGAACAATAAGCAAATATGTGTTTTTGAATAAAAAAAATGCTACCTCCAGGGAATGGCGTGCGTTCGTCTTGCGCATCTGAAAGCATCTTACCTGGTGTGCGGGCCTTTGGGGCTTTCAATAAGGAATTAATATCTATCAATGCGTGTATATATTTTTGTTTAAAAAACTGAAAACAAATGAAACAACATATTTACAAACAGCAATGCACAATGCCATTATTAATCACATTCATGAATTTAAGAATGATACTGAATTATTATATAAATTATGCAATTCTACTGATAATATTGAAATTGACCGTCATTGACCATTATGAACCTCAATTTGTTGAATTAGTTAATAGCTTTCTTTTAAACAACTCATCCAGAGTTCCAAATAAATTTGACGGAAAAAAAAGGGGGGCATACAAAAATATTTAAACATGTGATAAACAGTTTGAACACGATTGGTATAAGTATCATCTAAATAATGCAACACTCAGACCATTATGTAAGATTTGTAATCGCAAAAGAAAAAGAATGAGATTGGACTACAGTAAAAAATGAATAAACCTAACCTTGCCTATAGTATTTTTTTACAAAAACTATGATAATAATAATAAAATGTAAACTATTTTATCATAATTTGTCAAGTTAGAAAAATGCCCGTAGGAAACTACCTAAACGGAACACACCTATATAAATTAATGGTGGAAATTGAAAGAACATATTGTAGAAAATGTCAAACGAATAGACCAATTGATGCTTCTGAAGAAGGCTTCCAAACAAGTAGCAAATGCAGAGAAAAAGGAAGAAGCAGATATCATAGATTAAGAGATTATTATCAAGAAGCCAAGAAACACTATTATCAAAACCACAAGGAAGACATCGCAGAAAAAAATAAGGACTATTTCAAAGCAATCAAGGACATTGATATTACCTGCCCTGTTTGTAATTATGAAATCAAAAAATATAAGAAGTCTCAACACGGAGAAAAAAAAAAAAAAAGGAAAAAAAAACGCATCAGCACAACCTAAAACAAGTCACAGAACATAACAGCAACGAACAATGAGCAATGTATAATGATAATTTTAACATTTTATCTTTATATATTACCCCTTGGCGCGCGGTTATATAGCTAAGGAAAAGATAGGCACGGTCTCCTCTTACTGAAAGTGGGTCGCCTGACGCACAAAAGACACCTGCCTGCTTCACTTGTTCCACCATCCAATCCACATCCCTCGTCACATCCTGGCACATGTGCCGACACGCCAGGTTTTTTTTTTTTTTTTTTTTTTTTTTTTTTTTTCGCAGGCAAGCTTCTTTGATCCGGTTCCATAGTGACATCAACATCCTCAAAATTGCCCGCACTGAGGCTGGAAGGTTACAGTTCCCAGAAAGTGATTTTGAGAACCACTCATGTTCCCTTCATGTGGCACCCACCTGAAATCTCAAATTCGCTGTTTTTTGCCAAAGCCAGGCTCCAAACATTGGGCGTGGTGCTCCCACTAGAGGGCAGGATAGGCGCCCAACATGTTATCGGCACTGGGCCCCCATCAAAACCTGCAAAATATGTCACAAAAAATGGAGAATGAACGGGCTTCTTGGCTACAGTACCTCTTTCTGGTTGCCGCCTGCTCACCTTCACAAAATCCGCTCAGCCGTTTCGCTGAATGAGCAATGGCACTAAAAAACAAAACACAAGAATCGAGAGCGTAGACGCTCGGAAGCCAAGGTCAACTGTACCATTATCCCCCAGTCATAAGGGGTGGGGGACCTGGAAAATGTGTATATGCACTTTTGAGGTTCCCCCCCTCTATGCATTTTTTGGAATGGAGGATCTGCCATTCAAATGAAGCTTCCCAGTCCTGGTCCGCCACGAAGACCCTGCCGTTCTTGACCACGCAGCCGTGCTCCTGGCGGCGAAAAGGGGGTGCCTGGCAAAAAGCGCGAGGCGACCTGCAAGACTCAATCACAAAACTGGGCTGTCGTCAGATCACCTGCTAAAAGTTTTTTTAGCTTTTAGTGGGTGCAATGGAACCCCAACTAAACCCTAAAAGTCTAAGCTAAGGAACCGGATGGTCGGGAACCACCAAGAAAATTCAGGAGGGCTGCCATCCGCTAGAGCGTTGCTGCGGCCTTGGCTGCATAAATCCGCACATAGCCCGTGGTGTCGGGTTCTTTCAGCAAATGCCCCCGCGGTATTCGTGAACGTAGATTTCCTGAATTGGGTGCTTCTCGACATAGATGTCAAATGGGGGAGCCCTTACAAATGGCTGTGGGTCAAAAATTGGCACCCAAGACGGCACCCTGGTAAATGAAACCAAGGACTAAAACCTGTGGTCCCCTGGTGGGTTAATTTTGACCCATACACAAATGACGTCTGTCCTCTTGACTGCCCTTCACCGTGCAAGAGGTCCGAATCCCATTTTGAGAATGCTTTTCCAAAATCCACAACTCTCCTGGTACTCCTCCTCCGGAGCAGTGCGGGCCACCCACAGCGCATGACCTCGGCCCGCAAACCATCTGCCACAAAGAACTACGGCTAAAAAAAGATGTTTACTTCTTTTTTGGCATGAGTGATTAGGCCACTGTTGGCCAAAAAATGTGTTTCTTTCAAGCCTCAAGCATTGACAAAGCCACTGTTCAAAGCCCTGGACATTGGATTGCCATCTCATGGAGATGAGATGGAAGAAACCTCCTGGTGGTCCAAGAAAAAGGTGGCTGGGACCAGAAAAAGACGGTTCCACAAAGCGGCACAAGCACCCCGCTGGCCGGTCGCTTTTGAAAAAAAAAAAAAAAACAAAAAAAAAAAAACCACCCTGATGGGCGCGTCTCTTTGCTTGAGGAACCAAAGGACAACTGCACTGTTGGGCGCTTCTCTTTCGAGACGCAGCCAAAATTAGGGGCTGAAAAAAGAAGCTGTCAGGAAACAAGGGACTGAAATGTAGACGGAAGACATTCCAGCCCTCTCAGGGACGAAATGTTTGGTCCGGGGTTTAGGGTGGGCTTTTCCTCGGTCGGAGTGCAAATATTACGAGAAAACCCCATCGGCCCTTGCGCAACCAAACACTTGCCAAATCTCATCAACATCTGAACTGGCGAGCAACTGACAAGCCCTCTAAGGGTCCGTCAATGGGATTGCTGCCAATGCCGAAAGCTTATTCTATATCCCACCACCCCCGGGCAAGTAGGTCTCACCGAGCTGCCACGTTGAATCGACCTGGGCCGGGAGTAAGCCATAGCCCGTCGTCTCTCCCGCTCCCAGCCTTGTGTCCACAGATTCTCTACCCTCGCCGCTCTCATCTGTCTTTTCCAACCTATGAATCTGCCGGGCTTAAATCAGAGTCAACGTCTGATATGTCCCCTTAAGGCATGGATCTCACCGCCTTTTTCACCAACCCACAGCTCGCACTCTCGGCTCCGGCTCACTTTGTTCTTCTCGGGGCACTTGCACTCAAAGCGTCTGCATCTATGTTGGACTTCGCTCTGATGGTTTACCCGGTGGAAAACCACATCCAATGCTTCGTTCGGAGTTTATGACTCATTTGCAAAGCTTGGCCCCAAAGCCGTGTTATTGCTTTCCGGACAAACCTGTAGGAGCGCCAGGCTGGAAATCTAGACATCATGAATCTGCATTGGAGACCGGGCTTTTCAGCGGGGTCCCTCATGAAAAGTCGCCAGGTGGACAAAGCTGGAAGGCTTTGCACAAGCAGAATGTCTACGACCCCCAAACCAATTGCCCGAATCCCGTCGTGCCGGAAAACTTAAGAAGAGGGAACGAAGAAAGATACCTCAGCTTTTGCCTCGAACCATATGGCTTTGATTCTGGACCCCGTCGCTTGTGGAAATTGAAACCTGTCTTTGAGAGAGTAACTCCCTTCGGACAAAGGAACAAGGTGTCCCGGCCTGTCTGCACCGTGAGCAATCACGTCCAGTTCCTATCTTAGGAAACACCCAAATCAGTCAGAGTCAAATATGTGGCTCCCGCACTGAAGTGCGGGCAACTTGGACATCATCCCCCCCAGTCCCTCCATCTATCACACACCGCACAAAACATTGACGGGAAGTCCAAAATATCAAGTAGTTTTGGAGGAGACCCCAGCACCCAAAATCACTAGCACCCATTTTCTCCGTACGAGTGGCAGAAGGTACTCGGCGAAGCCTTCGTCAGTCCACTCGCTGGCCGCTTCGTGGCTGACGTTGCGGCGCCGGTCGTCCGACGGCGCCGTCTTGAGCAGCAAATGCCACAGCTTCACCTCAGTGTCAAGATGCGTGCCAGTCATGCAACCTTTTGGCAGATGTCCGGACCTGAACCAAGCCCCAAAACAGAAACATGGCACCTGGCTCTGCCCAGGCGGTTTAGGGTATGTGTTGCAGATTTGGACAAAGGAACCAGCGCAGATACGGACATGGGGGGAAGTTCCCCTGGCACCATGTCCCATATCAAACTTAGTCAAGGTGCATCAAACGGAGGAATCCTCCCACATCCCTGGTTAATAGTGTATCCCTGCTAGTTGGTTCCGTCGCAAAGGAGCGGCACGAAAGACGTCCCACAACTTCAGGCTTAACTTGCTGGTCCAGGGTTCCGACTTAAACAGTCCCCCAAAAAGGAGAACCCTAGGGATTAAGTCTATCTTGGGGTAGTCAAAAAGTGTTTTTTGGTGCTGGTCAGCAAATGAGGATGGCCCAAAGACTGAACCATCCAAGTGGTTTCCTGCAGAAAACCCCCTTCCCAAACGCTTGTCCGAAACCCAAAAAAACAATGCGGAGGAGTCCGCATCCCGGACGCCAACTCTCAGAAAGGGAAGGGGAGAAAACCCCCTGTGGCACAGGAATCTTGCGAATCGATGTTGAACAATCCAGCCTCACTAATGGGGTTAGCCGTTGAATGGGTTCTCACGAATGGGTCCCCTTCGGACGCAAAAACACCTGTTCACTCGAGAAAAAAACAAAGTATGGTGTGCTTTTTCAACCACAGGACCCTTTGCTGGACATCGGATTTCCAGGATTAAGCTGGCGGCCAGACATTTCTGGGTCTTTTGGTAGGGAACAACCCCTCCTTTTCTTGCTGCTCAGCAGGGAATGAAGGAATGAACCTGGGGATTCCCGAATAAAGGAAACTAAAGGATGGATGGTTTTTTTCATGGGGGTCCTTCCATTTCTCATTCCCTGCTCGCAAGTGTTGGTCTTGGGAAACCCAAAGGGAACAGGGATCCAAGGCCCGGTCCGAGTCGAATCGGCGTTTCCGAGGCACTTCGCCGCTGAAGTGCACCACTCCGATCTCCTGTCCCGAGACGAGAGGCTTGTTGGGAAATGGCATCCACCTCTGTGATACAGCAGAAATGGCCTAACCCCAAAGACGTTCAACCCCCCCCCCAAAAAAAAAAAGAAGTGGTTGGATAAACTTCCCGAGTGATCAACCACAACCCTGTTGAAAATCATTTGGACATTCCCCACCTTAAGGTGAAGGGAGGGTGAGGGTAGGGGGGGGGACATCTCCGCGACCCGATCATAAAAGGTAAAATGGGTTGTCGGAAATAGAATTCCAGTCACACCCTCCACCCAATTCCACTTTTGAGGGGAACCCCTAAAACCCAATGGGTCCACCCCTTTGAACTGGCTTTCCTTCTGGCTCAGACCAATCGACAGAGAGGCGTCCACGGGCTATTGCTGGGAAACCCCATCTTTTTAAACCCAGATAGCACCGAGCTCCGAACCCACCAATCTGATTGGTCTGACTATGGGCTTCCCACTCTACCAGGTCACCTTTCAGGCGAATGGTCAAAGGAACTGGCCAATGCCTTGACAAAGCATCGCCTTTTCGAGCACGGCTAGGGAAAAATCCATAAGAACCACCTCAACAAGTGGTATGTGGCATAATCCGCATGTCCTCAAATTATCTCTAAGAACCTCAAAGGTACTACTATTATCATTAGTATTATTAGTATTATTATTATTACTATTATTATTATTATTATTATTATTATTATGATTATTATTATTGTTATTATTATTATTATTAGTATTATTATTATTATCATTATTATCATCATCATCATCATCATCATCATCATCATCATCATCATCATCATCATCATCATCATCATCATCATCATCATCATCATCATTATTATCATTATTATTATTATTATTATTATTATTATTATTATTATTATTATTATTATTATTATTATTATTATTATTATTATTATTATTATTATTTTTATTATTTTTATTATTATTGTTATTATTATTAGTAGTAGTAGTAGTAGTAGTATCAATAATATTGATATTTTTTTTATTCTTATCGTTATTATTATCCTCATTATTATTATTGTTATTATCATTATTAAAATTTATTATTACTATTATTATTCGTATTTAAAAAAAAAAAAAAAAAAAAAAAAAAAAAAAAAATCCTCTCCCTCTAAGAACCTCAAAAGCGCTAGGTGGCATAATCCCAACATCCTCCAATTCCCAAGAACCTCAAAACTGGTAGGTGGCATGTCGTTCGATTCCCTCTAAGAACCTCGAAACTGGTAGGTGGCATAATCTCCATGTCCTCAAATTCCCTCTAAGAACCTCAAGAAGTGGTTGGTGGCAGAATCCATGTCCTCAAATTCCCTCTGAGAACCTCCAAAAAGTTCTTGGTGGCATAACCCTCGAAGGCGCAGCATTTCCTGTATCAGGATGTATGTTTGTGTGGCATGGGCAGAATTGCTGTCAGAATGATCTGGGTGTTGTCGGTGTAAATTTGTGTGGAATGGGACTCATTTGGCAGCTGTTTACAGAACTCGATGTTGTTGGGCGTGGGGAGGCCGTTCAGCGGGCAGGCAAAATACTATTGGAAGATTTAGAAATTTCGCGCCAGGCGCAGCAGTGTGGCATAGGCGCATTGCTGTCAGAAGGAACTGGATGTTGTCGATATACGATTGTTTGGCATGGGCAGAACTTGGTTGGTAGATGTCTTTATCGGCAAAACATTCAGTAAATGTCCGGGGTTTAGGGGGGGTTTAGGGGTTAAGGGGTTTTGCAGGAGTTTAGGGCGGTTTAGCGGGGCTCAGGGGGGTTTAGGGGGGTTTAGGATGAGTTTAGGGGGGGGGAGAGGTTTGGGGGGTTTAGGGGGGTTTAGGGGGGTTGATGGGTAGGGGGTGAAGGGGCAAAAAGTGGTTGGTTAATCCCCATATCCTCAAATTCCCTTTAAGTTTCTGAAAAAGTGTTTGGTGCCATAATCCCCATGTCCTCAACTTCCCCGTGAAACACAAACTATCGCGAGCTCTGAAAAGTGGCAGCTGGTGTCAGACTGTCAGCTTCCCCCCAAGATTCCGATGGGACGATTTTTTGGTTTCTGGTTCGACTCCCCGGAAAATTTCCCGCGGATGGCTTCAACTCCGTGGGTACTCATTCCGCGGCGCCTTCGCCGGGACCAGAAAGTGAGCGAGCCCCGAGCGACTGGGCCCCTTGCGGCCGGGCCTCGAGGCCTATGCGCATCCTCAAGGGCAGCCAGGTGCGGTCTGCATGGGAGAACTCCTGGAGCAAAACTGGGGAGTCGAGCGGAGTGGGGTTTGTTGTTTTGAAGCAACCCCCAAGATGATGACCCTCCAAAAAAATCGGAAAATGATGACCCTCCAAGAATTAAATGGACGACAGATTGCCCCCAAAAGTGAACCCTCCAAAGAAACACAGGCCCGGACTGGGCTCTCTTCGAATCTGTTGGACCCTGGTAGATTATCCCAACTTCTAAGAGATACTGGAAAGTCGATGGCACTATTCCCCCATTGAGTTGAGTCATCTTTGGCGAGGACCCTCTGAGATCGATTTTTTTGTTGTCGCCCTGTCGCCCAGCCAGAACCTCCACGTGGGGGGGAACCCCCCACTTGCCACAGTACTTCTCGTTTCTTAGATTCCAAGGACCCATGACAAGTACTACGCGAGCATGAATATTCAAAATATGGTTTAATCGATCCTTGCTTCAATCGTCTGCTTCTTCAAGCTGCAGACAACAGCGCTGTTCCAGCAACAACACATGAGACAATCGGACTGTCCTCCCAGGTCCTTTGTAGGAAACTCCAGTCTAAAAATCCATGTCCCTCAACTGATCCTAGACTGTCCTCCGATCCCTCGCCAAAAGTTTCACTTGTCGTTTGAATAAAATGCGGAAATCCAACCACTAAGCACTAAAAACAACATTTCAACCCTCAGGAACCGGATAAGAACCCCCAAGAGAGAAGTTAGGAACCTCCGGTCCTTGTCGGAGGATAGCACAAATCGTTTCCAGTGGACCGCGCGCTCGATGGCAAAGAGAGATTGGTGCAGCTGATAGTTCCATGCCACGCTGATCTGATGCCTCGAAATGCTGCGAAACAAAAGAATCGCAAAGCCCTTTACAAGCGGAATCCCTGAAAAGAATCGGCTGGTAATGTTGACCCCATATTGATAAACCCAAGTCTATGGGGCTGTTCCTGTACAAAAGTGTTTTCCCCCACGAAAACCTGGGACACCCCCATATCAATGAACAGGGGTTGATTAATATGGGGTGAACATTATTTGTTTGATTCATCAGCCCAGGTTGCGGTTGCTCAACCTGGTCCAAAGCCGGGGACCCTTTGAATCAGTGGTTCTCCCTGTTCAATTAAAACGAGTTTTTTTTATACAAAATTTGTCAACCAACGGCCACTTCAAGGACTGTCTCCAAAATGTCGCTTCTCCTTTCAAGCAACACAGGAGTCCAAAACGATAGGCCGATGAGCCACTCCAAGGTCCCTTGACCTGAAGGCTGCATACGTCCATGATTCCCTGGTATGACCCCCGGATGGTTCTGGGTCAAGAGCAACTTGCACAGAGCTGTCACAGGGCAACTGGCAAAAAAAGCGCCACTTGCGTAGAACAACTTGCGTAGAGCGACTTGACACTTCTGAGCTGGAGCTTTGGGAGTGTACTTTGAACACTACTTTCGTACCAAAAAGTTGCGACTTTTCGAGCCGACACTTTCGAGCCACAGCTCTGCATGGGAGTGCATTTCACGTACTACTTCGTACTAAAGTTGCGGCTCTCAAGCCAGAGCTTCGGGATTGAATCTAGGTTGAGTAGCCCGACGCCTTGGACCCTGGGAGGCCTTAAGTCAACTCCCAAAGCGCAACGAGTCTCACGCAACGAGCCAAGGCGCCAGGGCGTGTCGCTGGCCGCGAAGAAACGGGACAGGTAGTCCTTGGGGATTTGGATGGCTTGGTGGGTGGATTTGGAAACCCCCAGTTATCCTCTACAAAAAACCAGGGGTTCAACTTCAAATCCAAACCGGCAATCCAAACCAAACAAGGGGAAGCTGAACTGAAGCTGCAGTGGATGTCCCACATGGAGAAAACAAGGACGCCAATTTTGTGGGTCAAAATATGGGACCCGCCCAGAATGATGGCGGTATGGTGGCTTCCCTTTAAATTAACTGAAAAAGGCACTCTCAAAAACAGCAAGAGCCATGTCTGTTTGATACTTCATACATTTTGACGGGTTTTCCCCAAAACGCTCCACAAAAAAATAAACGCCGCAGACCTACCAATAAGATTGCCTTTCTTTTTCTGCCTCCTGTGCCTCTCGGGCGCAAAGAAAGAAAAAAAAAAACAAACCCCGAAGTGGTCAGGGCCTTCTCTCGAGGCCCAAGGTGCCTCGGCAACTTCTGCCTAGGATCGACTTAAAGCGGCCGACCGCAAAAAACAAGCGGCCAGCCGACCATTCCTTCCTAACACCTGCGGATCATTCTGTGCTCAGATGCCCAGTGGATTTCCAGGAGAGAAGAAGGCATCCGATTTTTTTTGGGCTGGTGGAGTTTCACGGGGAACCCGGGCCCCAAAAGAAAGGAAAACAGGGGTAGCGCTGGGCACCTGGGCGTGCCTCATTTTGCCTCTCTGAACGCAAGTCATGCATGGCGTGAGGCTCAGTGCGAACACGTTCTTGCGACCTATTCGGCTCGTTTAGATCTGGGCATGAATCTTACTTGGGGACCCTCTGGTGGACACCATTTCACAGGGCGCTTTCTGTCCGCGAGGTGTTCGCCCTAGCTGTGGATTCCGCTATTTCTTGCATAAAGCACTCTGCGTAAGGCACCGGAAACAAGCTCTAGCGGACTCCAGCGTTCCAACTCTGGAAACCCCGCACGTTTCGAGTGCTCTTGAACAAGACGGCTTGTGGGGTTCCTTCCGATCTGCAGAGTAAAAGTCATGGTGGGAAAAGCAGCCGAAATCTCCGATGTGGGATTCCGGTCCTGACTGGTCATTTTTCGAGGGCTTCACCTTGGTATCGCCAACAACCCGGCAACCTAAAACCATGTTCCCCCCGCGGAAGTTTAAAAAAAAAAAAAGATGGGGAAAGCGGACTCCAAGCCATCCCTTCGACCTCGAAAACAAAATAAAAACGGCTAAAGAGGGGGAGGAGCGTCTTCAGCCCAGCCAACTCCCTGCCTGCTCCGGCCCATTCCCGGCGATGTGGCAGGGGTGGTTCTTGCCTCAAGAAAGGCCAGCGGGCGGCGCCGGCTTGATGACCCAAGAAATGGTTGAGGGCTGAAAAAGTATCATGGGGATCCACACAAAAAAAAATGAAAAAGCTGAAAAGGTGTCCTCCCCCAGAAAGAAAACCAAAAAAAAAAAAAAAAACTGAGAAGCGGGCTCAACATTCAAAACAAAAACACTCTGCAGTTTCACATGGAACCCAGAGAAAGGGATCCCCCAAACAAAGATTCGGCTAAAAAGGGTGGGTGTTGGGCTTCCATGTTGAACTGCGGATGTCGGAGCTGCTGATTCTTGAGCTTGAGTTTGGTATTTGGCTTTCGGCACTAGGAGAAGCCAGATTCAGCAGATCCCCTTAAAGGCTCATTGTCCAGAGGGCATTCTGAACCAGAGAAAACACCTCCCGATGAACCTGCGAGGTTTAGTGCCCTTCCATCCACTAACATGGAACCTGACTGGCGGGTCCTCGAAAACCAGAATCCTATAAAAGGGACTTCGTGGTGGGTTCCATGGCAACATCCTGGGTCAACGTTGTGTCCCTGTTTTGACCCTGGTGCGCCTCCCTCAAAACTAGCTGGCCGACAAATTGTGGGTTGCAATTCTGGCGGCCGACACAATGTTCAACCAACAAGATCCAAAAACACACTCAGTTGCTCAAAGTTTATCGACTGGCCTGCCATTCTAGGATGGGCATTCCCACCAAAATTTATCCGGGGCACATACGCCCTTTTGGCGTGCCCTTTTGGATTCTACCCTTCGTTCCACAAACGTAGCACCTCTGAGATGGTACCTGGAAGATCAATTTCCTCTTGGAGGGACCCCCTGCCAGATGCCATGTTCGTTGAGCGAACGCCTACTTCTCACACAGGGGTTATGTGGCCATGGGTCAAAATCCCGTACCCCCAGTGAACATCCCAATCCCAACTAAAATAGACTAAAATGTGTGGTGCACCTACCCGAAAATGGGATCCCATTGGTTTTGACCCACAGCCATACTACGGACGCCCGGCTGGCTGAGGGTGCGACAGGTCACCTCCCGAATCGGGGCCGGCCGGGGGTGTCTTTACACTGAAGCCGCTTTTTTTTTGGAGCGTTACATGGAACCCCCCCCCCAAAAAAAAAGGAGGAGTCCCCTATTTTAAGTCAAACCCAGAAAAAACGGGGATGCCATGGGTCAAATTGTGGCCTATGGCAACAGATTCCCATTTTCTTGCGAAGGAATCTGACAGGCCGCTCAGTATGGTGAAAGGTATAAGGTGGACCCTTCGGACGTGAAAAAGGGCAGATGCAACACTCCCACACCCTGGCTAGTCACTGCGGCTCCAATCTTGAACCCTGTGTTTACTGGCCCCATTATTGTACCAAAGTCACCCCCCAAGTGGAACGTTAAGGAGAAACAGCCCCATTTTGTGACTTTGATAACCCCCAGAAAGCGTCAAATAATCAGGGATCCTTACATTATACACCTGAGCATTGCCTTGTCAATGGTGGCTTCCCCTTATTTTGGTGGAAAAAGGCATGTTTCAAATGGGCAAAATGTATCTTTTGAGGAGCCCTGATAATGACCCCGGATTTGCTAGCAGTTCGGACGAGACACGGGGCTGCCATTTCAAAGCCAGCTTGGCTATAGGGCACTGTCCGAGCGAAGGCGAACATGCATGCCGGCAGTGGCACTGTCAGTCTGTGCGTGCCAAACTAAGGGAACCCTTAAAAAATGGCAGCGTTCCTTTAGGCAACCAACATAGTATGACATAGGGTCAACACAAACGAGGAAAGAGTCATCCGGCATCTCCAGACGTGCCTCTTTGTGCATCTGCTTGAACACATCGCCATCCGGCTGAAGCAGAATGACCCCAGCATTGATGCCGCCCGTTTGCCCCCAGGGATAGTCCTGAAGCGAGCGCTTGGCGCTTGGCGGTGTAGAGCCCTAGTTTAACAAGTACCCCAACATGAAAAAAATGGTGCGACTCCCCTGGGTTTTTGCTGGAGTTTGGCAGTCCCCTGTCCCTCCCGAAAGGACCATAGACTACTGGTGTACAGGTCTGGGCAAACTTCACATGTGTACTTCATGTGCGTGTGTGTGTGTGTGTCTCCATCTGTGCGTCTGTGTGTTCGTGTCTGGTGCTTGTCACACAGTCCTTCTCATCTTCACCGCCAAAAAAGCGGCGCCCATCCACTCTCTCGCCATGCTCAGTTTCCTTAGTGGAGCAGCCATTTGCGGCAAATGACCCATGTTGCATGCATCCATCATACAACTTGTCTCGAAATGACAAGGTCACAAGTTCTCTTCGTCCGGCCAGTCTTTGAGGCTTCCGGCACTGTTGGAGACGCCAGAACATTCTTCACAAACGCTCAAGGCATTTGGTCGATAGACAAGTCGTCAAGACATATACTGCCTTACCATCCCTTGGTGTATCAAGCCCAAGGCGGCGCATCATCTGATTGCCTTCCCACCCGAGGGCCCTCTCCTAAAAGCTGCGATATATTTTTTCGGCAAGACTCTTCGCCTCGATTTTGGTTCCGTGGCGGAGGGCGTCTTTGCTTTGGGGATACTGATGAACTGAATATTGTAAGCCAACCATCAACCACAAAGCCCTGTAAGTCAAGATGAGTTAGAGGGAAACCCCTGCTCTCTTACTTGCACTACTTGGGCATGAGTCAAAATTATACCAGCAGGGGACCGCAGGTTGCAGTCCTTCTTTCCATCTGCGTTCCATTTTGGCTACCTTTTTTCGACCGACACCCATTTAGGGCATCCCCCGTACCCTCAGAAACGTTCTTGGGAGTTGTCCGCTTCCATCGGTCTTCCTAAGCCGAGACCCGCCTAGAAACCGCCGCCCACCAGCTGCTCCAGGGCAATGCATGGAAAAAGATATGCTCCCTTGTCCACCTCACTTTTTGCCCCCCCGCCAAAAAAAAAAAGAGGGGGGGTTCAAAGGAGGTTGTAGCAACCCCCAAAAAAAAAAAAAAGAATTCAAGGGGTTCAAATGTGGCGGTAAAAAAAGGAAGAAAAAAACACTCGAATTCAAGGGGTTCGAAGGAGGCTGCAGCAAACAAGGATATGAGACATCCACCAGAAACATATTGCGTGCTCGTTCCTCCTGCTTGCCCCCAACTAAACAGTGATTAAATCTACATCGAACCTCATTAGAATGCAGAAGATCCATGTTGGTCTTCCTTTTGCCTCCCTAAAAAACCACAACCCGACGAGGACCTCCTTTTGGGTGGCCCGAGTTTTTGCACCGACTCTGAGACAGCCGCACAGAAGTCACCTCTCAGCTTTCAGCCCAGGCGCGCCCTGGCCACGCACCATCGCCGCAGGGCAGGGCAGCTCGAAGAGCTCGTCCATGGCCCGCAGCCTCAGATCCAATCGCTAGACCTACTTGGCTTTCGCTGAGCTTAGAGACTGGGAACGTAGCTTCCATAGCTCCAAGCTGACCATCCGATGGGTTTTGGAAAAGACTTTGCTTCTTTATCGCGCCATGTCCGCTGCCATGTTTGTTGAAAAGAGGGAGAGGGAGAGTTGGGATAGGCGTCTGAAGATACTAAAAGGACAGGCATCTGAGTCAAAATCAAAATGTGGTGCTAAACTGGTTGGGACCCAGAACCATGCAAAGAATTGCAGGGCGGCGAAGGCATCCATTTCTGGTTGGGACTATCCCTTACTCACCTTCATCTACCCGAATCGGTGTCGATGCTTATCTGAAGATAAAACTGGTTTGCTCCCTTTGATGCCCCAAGCCAAGGGATTCATGAAATGGTGGATTCATGAAATGCTTTGTGAAAAATACTGGCCACAACATTTTACCAAAGTTATTTCTGTAGGAAACTGCACCAAAATGAATCCCCAGTCACAGACTGGGGGGTCACATCAGGTTGGTCAATTCGCTGGGTCTACGCAAAACCAATTTTTGAACTAAGAGGGCAGGGATTGGGACTGCCGGACTGTCCCCTCACATTTCTCGAAACCAAACCCCCATGGCTCTGAACCAAACCCCCATGGCGGTCTCGTGGACGAGCGCTACTCTTTCGGCGGCCGAAGTGGAGTATGTTTGGCGGCCCCAAGCATCAAAAGCTGCGCTTTGAGTCAGATTACTCCTTGGAAAGCTGAAATCTGCATTTGGCAGGGCGGTTCTTGCAAATGAGACAAAAGGGCGCCTCATTCGAGTTGTCCTGGTGGAGCAGGGTGTTTCGGAGGCTTGGACTTCAACTCTCCGCCTGAAGGTCCCTCCCAACGGTGGGTTCCTTGCTGAAAAAGGCATGGCCAAGTTCTATTTTTTGGATCCGTACGGACGCCCATTCGGGACCCGGGGAGGTGCCGTATCCCTTTCTTCGGCCTGGGCGTATCAACTTGACCTCAAATTGGTCCAATGTAAGGAGCCCAAGGGCCGTCGGATGCCTAGCTCACTGTAAACCCCCCGGGTTTGAACATCCAGAGAAAAATGGACCTTGGTGGCACAAAAGTGTTTTTGGATCCCATACATAGGTGTCCTTTCGGGAAAATTGATGGCATTGATAAATGATTAGAACCAACCTGATCCATCTATGTTCAGCCAAACTGACCTAAAGCCAAGTAGGATCTCATACTTTGCTTTGGACCACAAAAGTCGCGGGCTGCGGTTTGGGGGGAGTGGGACATGCGGCCCAAGGGCGGTATGATGTCCAAATCGAGGAGAAGCACCTTCCTCAGCACAGCAGGGAGTTCGCGGTTCCCGAAGCAACGGCTCAAGATTCTGGACAGGGTCAAAGACCAACCCGGAAAACCGAGCACATTCTATGGACACCCCCTGTTTTGCTTGTCCCGGACGGGCTTGTTCGTCTGGGGTCAAAATTCAAGAAACACGAAAAGAACTTCTAGAAGAGGTGCTTGTCGAAAGTTTCAGATCGAATACTCCCCACCCCCCACCCCCCGCATAGCAATCCGCGGATTCTTTGGCACCCTGGTGCGTTTCTAGGGCCTTACTTGCAAGAGAAAAGCTGGCACGGGAAAAAAGGCTTGACGCTCTCACACGGAAAGAGTCTCACCTGTGGAAAGGGCTTCCCTAGTCCCTGTAAAACAGCTTGAAAACCACAAGCGCCCAAAAAGAAACAGCATTGTTTCCGAAAAGCAGGCGCCTAAACATAGTTGGTTTCCCAGCAAAACACAATCCAGCAATCACGTGAAAGATGCGCCTCGTGTTGGGTCTAAGGTCCATGGCCTTCCAAACCAGGTGATTGTTGAACTGCCGTTGCTGCGACATGGAGAAAACATTGGCTGGGGACCAGCTGATGTTAACAGCAGAGTTGCGGAAGATCCCATCTGGGGACTCGGAGTCCGAGCAAAGTGGATATGAATTGTGTTGCTGTGAGAATTCGGCGAGCCACTTCCCCGTTTTTGCGCGGGGGTGGGTTCCCCCCGCCCTTTGGCCCATGCCTCATCCCTGACGTTGACACCAAGTGATTCCTTAAAAAAGCTGGAACTTTCACAACGACCTACAAGAGTTCAGCCAAGCTGGCCTTTCCTTGCACACAGGCTTTTCTTGTCATGCCTTTGGTCCGGTACCATGTTATTTGGGTCAAAAGAAAGAAGGCAAAGCTGTAAGTGTCCAACCCGTTTGGAGAACGGACCCACTTCCCGCCTGAGAATAGATCTCAAGTTTGCTGGGAGGGTCCTTTCGACCAAAAGCGGAGAATCACTTCGGGGAACCAGACGAAGTGCCTTTTGAATGAAGACGATAAAGAGATGGGTTTGTCTCAAAATGCTAAACCCAAAAAATGGATGGGTTGCTCTTGGTCTTCCTGTGAGACCCTGTAACTTTTGGGGTGAAGAACGAGCAAAATATTGCCCTCGATTTGCACTCGTCTCTTCGACCGTCCAAACTCCTGATGTGGATCATGGCTCCACATGGTTTCTTTTTGGCAGGAACCCTTGTGGCTAAAATATCCGAGGTTGATAACCAGAGCTCTCGGAAACAATCTTCGCAAAGCCCTCGGGTGTGTCATTTATATCTTTACAGGTTGGACCCCCACATTTTGGCTTCGGCGTCCCTTTGGCTTCCCTTTGGAACACCAACACCCCGAACAGAAACCTCCACACGCACCGCTTCTTCCGCTGCAATCGAGTGGCTCGAACTCCTCCAGCGTCCACGCACCCAGTTTGGTGAAGACGCCGTCGAAGATGTCTCGGGTTCCCGGACGAGAAACGAGTGGGAAGCGCTTCGCGGCGGGGCTGCGTGCTTTTCCGCTTCAAGGGGGAAGCGGGGGGTGGGGTGGTAGGAGCTGATGGCATGGGAAATACGTGGCGGGTGGGGAGCTGGTGCGAGCTGATGGCACGGGGGATTAACGTGGGCGAAGGACCTGGAAATGGCTGAGACTCTGCTGGGGAATTGCACAAATAGGGGTTCTGGCTTGTATTTAAGACATGTGCTTGAGAATAAGGGTTGCTAAGACATGTGATTTGACAATCCGGATGCAAAATGGCCCCTGCGCATTTTTGGGCTGATCGGAAAATGCGAGCTCCAACAATCACGAAAAAACAGCGTCGGCAAGTATTGAAGCTATGCTGCAATACTCCGGCAACTCCCTCGCCAGCTGTGTCGTGCACATCGCAAACCACATTGTTTGTGTAATGCAAATGGAAAACGACAACGTTGCTCTCAGCCCCCCAAAAGCAAGTCATCTATGCACATGCAGTATGTGGAAACCCTACGTGTGTCCTACCCCTAGGAATGGGCGATGAATGGCAAACATGGTCGAAGGGTTGGCATCGAGCGTCCTTCAAGTAGGCACTCAACGATAGAAACAATGTTCTGTGTGGCTTGGCTGTGCCTGTCTAGTCTACATGAGAAAACAGAGCACAAACCAAGTTAGAAATTGGGAAACCCCCAAAAGGGAACCAACTAAAAAAATCTGAAACCCATCCGGGCAAATACATGCCAAACCTCACGTCACCTGTGATTTGGATTGGTTGGGATTGGACCTCACTGGTGGGCACACATGTCTTAAGATGGACCCCGCTTGATGAAGTTCTACTTGTTTCCCTGACGAGAGAAGGGTTCCCTCAAAGAAACACCGTGAGGAACCAAGGAGAAATCGCGAAGGTGGCAAACTGAGGACACACACACAAGCGTCCATGTGCTAATTACACGACAAGGGGCACACAGAGAAACACAAAGCACAAACCAAAAGGAGAGCAGAAGAGAAATCACGAAGGTGGCAAACGGAGAACGCAGACACAAACGTCCATATACCCCACGACACGACAAGGGGCATGCAGATGAGGGAAGGGAAAACGCAAAGCACACACCAAAAGGAGAGGAGGGGAGAAATCACGAAGGTGGCAAACAGAGAACACACGCAAACGTCTATATACCTCAAACTTCAAACCAAGAGGAGAGGAGTGGAGAAACAATTGCTTTTCATGTTGACAAATTCGCAGTCCGCCCAGCTGTTTACAAAAAACAGTTTTTGTATACGGCCGGCGCCCCCCCCCCCATGACAAGAACAAATCCATAATGACACGCAAAAATCCTTAATTACAAGCAGGTGCTTCTAATTCAGGATTTTGACAAGAAAAACATCCTTAATGAAAAGCAAAAATCCTTAGTTACAAGCGGGTGCTTGTAATTAAGGATTGTTGACCAGCAACAGTCCTTAATGAGCACGTGAAAATCCTTGCTTCAAAAAAGAATTTTTGACAAGCACAAATGCTTTATGACAAGCAAGAACCCTTAATTACAAGCAGGTGCTTGCAATTAAGGATGTCTGAACAAAAAACAACCTTAATGACAAGCAAAAATCCTTGATGACAAGCAAAAACCCTTAATTACAAGCAGGTGCTTGAAATTGAGGAAGTTTGACAAGCAAAAATCCTTAATGACAAGCAACAAACCCTTAATTGCAAGCAGGTGCTTGTAATTCAGGATTTTTGACCAGCAAGAATCCTTAATGGCAAGCAACAAAACCTTAAATTACAAGCAGGTGCTTGTAATTAAGGTTTGTTGACCACCAAAAATCCTTCTTGTAATTAAGGATTTTTGACCAGCAACAATCCTTAATGACAAGCAACCATCCTTAATTACAAGCACCCGCTTGTAGTTAAGGATTTTTGACCGGCAAAAATCCTTAATGACAGAAAAAATCCTTAATTACAAGCAGGTGCTTGTAATTAAGGATTTTGACCGGCAAAAGTCCTTAATGACAAGCAAACATCCTTAATTACAAGCAGGTGCTTGTAATTAAGGATTTTTGACCAGCAAAAATCCTTAATGACAAGCAACCATCCCTAATTACAAGCAGGTGCTTGTAATTCAGGATGATTGACCAGCAAAAATCCTTAATAACAAGCAACAATCCTTAATTACAAGCAGGTGCTTGTAATTAAGGATTTTTGACAAGAAACAGATCCTTAATGACACGCACAAATGCTTAATTACAAGCAGGTGCTTGCAATTAAGGATTTTTGACAAGAAATAGATCCTTAATGACACGCACAAATCCTTAATTACAAGCACCCGCTTGTAATTAAGGACTTTTGACAAGAAACAGATCCTCAATGACACGCACAAATCCTTAATTACAAGCACCTGCTTGTAATTAAGGATTTTTGACCAGCAAAAATCCTTAATGACAAGCAAACATCCTTAATTACAAGCACCCGCTTGTAATTAAGAATCTTTGACAAGAAACAGATCCTTAATGAAACGCACAAATCCTTAATTACAAGCACCTGCTTGTAATTAAGGATTATTGACCAGCAAAAATCCTTAATGACAAGCAAACATCCTTAATTACAAGCAGGTGCTTGTAATTAAGGATTTTTGACCAGCAAAAATCCTTAATGACAAGCAACCATCCTTAATTACAAGCAGGTGCTTGTAATTAAGGATTGTTGACCAGCAAAAATCCTTAATGACAAGCAAAAATCCTTAATTACAAGCAGGTGCTTGTAATTAAGGATTTTTGACCAGCAAAAATCCTTAATGACAAGCAAAAATCCTTAATTACAAGCAGGTGCTTGTAATTAAGGATTTTTGACCAGCAAAAATCCTTAATGACAAGCAACCATCCTTAATTACCAGCAGGTGCTTGTAATTAAGGATTTTTGACCAGCAAAAAACCTTAATGACAAGAAAAATCCTTAATTACAAGCAGGTGCTTGTAATTAAGGATTTTTGACCAGCAAAAGTCCTTAATGACAAGAAACAATCCTTAATTACAAGCAGGTGCTTGTAATTAAGGATTTTTGACCAGCAAAAATCCTTACTGACAAGCAACCATCCTTAATTACAAGCAGGTGCTTGAAATTCAGGATGATTGACCAGCAAAAATCCTTAATGACAAGAACAAATCCTTAATTACAAGCAGGTGCTTGTAATTAAGGATTTTTGACCAGCAAAAATCCTTAATGACAAGAACAAATCCTTAATTACAAGCAGGTGCTTGTAATTAAGGATTTTTGACCAGCAAAAATCCTTAATGACAAGAAAAATCCTTAATTACAAGCAGGTGCTTGTAATTAAGGATTTTTGACCAGCAAAAATCCTTAATGACAAGCAAAAATCCTTAATTACAAGCAGGTGCTTGTAATTAATTAAGGATTGTTGACCAGACCAAAAATCCTTAATGACAAGCAAACATCCTTAATTACAAGCAGGTGCTTGTAATTAAGGATTGTTGACCAGCAAAAATCCTTAATGACAAGCAAAAATCCTTAATTACAAGCAGGTGCTTGTAATTAAGGATTTTTGACCGGCAAAAATCCTTAATGACAGAAAAAATCCTTAATTACAAGCAGGTGCTTGTAATTAAGGATGTTTGACCGGCAAAAGTCCTTAATGACAAGAAACAATCCTTAATTACAAGCAGGTGCTTGTAATTAAGGATTTTTGACCAGCAAACATCCTTAATGACAAGCAAAAACCCTTAATTACAAGCAGGTGCTTGTAATTAAGGATTTTTGACCAGCAAAAATCCTTAATGACAAGCAACAATCCTTAATTACAAGCAGGTGCTTGTAATTAAGGATTTTTGACCAGCAAAAATCCTTACTGACAAGCAAACATCCTTAATTACAAGCAGGTGCTTGTAATTAAGGATTTTTGACCAGCAAAAATCCTTAATGACAAGAAAAATCCTTAATTACAAGCAGGTGCTTGTAATTAAGGATTTTTGACCAGCAAAAATCCTTAATGACAAGAAAAAATCCTTAATTACAAGCAGGTGCTTGTAATTAAGGTTTTGTGGCCTTTGTGTCCCCCACGTCTCAAACAGCGTCCGCAATTACTTCCTTAGTCTCGGCCAGCCGGACCAACTTCAATCTCTAGGCCATGGACGCTAGCCCTGCGCACTGGTAAAGCAGTTTGCGCGAGGAAAACACGAATCCGATAGGCAAGAAACCATAGTTACAGGAAAAATCCAGATTTTCGAGGAAAAAACCTGATTTGCAAGCAAAAATCCTTATTCGCAAGCAAAACTCCTTTTTCGCAGAAAGAACATTTAATGACGAGCAAAATTCCTTAATGACAAGCAACAATCCTTAATTACAAGCAAAAATCCTTAATTACAAGCATGTGCTTGTAATTAAGGATGTTCGCTTTTTTGCGTCCCCCGCTTTTCAAAAACAAAAGCCGCAAATCCTGGTTTTGGACCGAAAACTGGGGGACAGACCCTCAATTCTGTCCCCCAGTTTTCGGTCCAAAACCAGGATTTTCATGTTTTTTTGTCTGAAAAGTGGGGGACACAAAAGCCAAAAAATCTTAATTACAAGCACCTGCTTGTAATTAAGGATTTTTGCTTGTCATTAAGGAATTGTGCTTGTCATTAAGGATTTTTCTGCGAAAAAGGAGGTTTGCTTGCGAATACGTTTTTTTGCTTGCAAATCAGGATTTCTCCTCGAAAATCTGGATTTTTCCTAACTACGGTTTCTTGCCTATCGGATTCGTGTTTTCCTCGCGCAAACTGCTTTACCAGTGCGCAGGGCTAGCGTCCATGGCCTAGAGATTGAAGTTGGTCCGGCTGGCCGAGACTAAGGAAGTAATTGCGGACGCTGTTTGAGACGTGGGGGACACAAAGGCCACAAAACCTTTATTACAAGCACCTGCTTGTAATTAAGGATTTTTTCTTGTCATTAAGGAATTTTGCTGGTCAAAAATCCTTAATTACAAGCACCTGCTTGTAATCAGGATGTTTGCTTGTCATTAAGGATTTTTGCTGGTCAAAAATCCTTAATTACAAGCACCTGCTTGTAATTAAGGATTTTTTATTGTCATTAAGGACTTTTGCTGGTCAAAAATCCTTAATTACAAGCACCTGCTTGTAATTAAGGATGTTTTCTTGTCATTAAGGATTTTTGCTGGTCAAAAATCCTGAATTACAAGCACCTGCTTGTAATTAAGGATGTTTTCTTGTCATTAAGGATTTTTGAGGGTCAAAAATCCTTAATTACAAGCACCTGCTTGTAATTAAGGATTTGTTCTTGTCATTAAGGATTTTTGTTGGTCAAAAATCCTTAATTACAAGCACCTGCTTGTAATTAAGGATTTGTGTCTTGTCATTAAGGATTTTTGCTGGTCAAAAATCCTTAATTACAAGCACCTGCTTGTAATTAAGGATTGTTTCTTCTCATTAAGGATTTTGCTGGTCAAAAATCCTTAATTACAAGCACCTGCTTGTAATTAAGGGTTTTTGCTTGTCATTAAGGATGTTTGCTGGTCAAAAAGTCTTAATTACAAGCACCTGCTTGTAATTAAGGATTTTTTCTTGTCATTAAGGACTTTTGCTGGTCAAAAATCCTTAATTACAAGCACCTGCTTGTAATTAAGGATTGTTTCTGTCATTAAGGATTTTTGCCGGTCAAAAATCCTTAATTACAAGCACCTGCTTGTAATTAAGGATTTTTGCTCGTCATTAAGGATTTTTGCTGGTCAAAAATCCTTAATTACAAGCACCTGCTTGTAATTAAGGATGGTTGCTTGTCATTAAGGATTTTTGCTGGTCAAAAGTCCTTAATTACAAGCACCTGCTTGTAATTAAGGATGTTTGCTTGTCATTAAGGATTTTTGCTGGTCAACAATCCTTAATTACAAGCACCTGCTTGTAATTAAGGATGTTTGCTTGTCATTAAGGACTTTTGCTGGTCAAAAATCCTTAATTGCAAGCACCTGCTTGTAATTAAGGATGTTTGCTTGTCATTAAGGAATTTTGCTGGTCAAAAGTCCTTAATTACAAGCACCTGCTTGTAATTAAGGATGGTTGCTTGTCAGTAAGGATTTGTGCTGGTCAAAAATCCTTAATTACAAGCACCTGCTTGTAATTAAGGATGGTTGCTTGTCATTAAGGATTTTTGCTGGTCAAAAATGCTTAATTACAAGCACCTGCTTGTAATTAAGGATGTTTGCTTGTCGTTAAGGATGTTTGCTGGTCAAAAATCCTTAATTGCAAGCACCTGCTTGTAATTAAGGATGTTTGCTTGCCATTAAGGATTTGTTGCTGGTCAAAAATCCTCAATTACAAGCACCTGCTTGTAATTAAGGATGTTTGCTTGGCATTAAGGATTTTTGCTGGTCAAACATACTTAATTACAAGCACCTGCTTGTAATTAAGGATGTTTGCTTGTCATTAAGGACTTTTGCTGGTCAAAAATCCTTAATTACAAGCACCTGCTTGTAATTAAGGATGTTTGCTTGTCATTAAGGAATTTTGCTGGTCAAAAATCCTTAATTACAAGCACCTGCTTGTAATTAAGGATGTTTGCTTGTCATTAAGGAATTTTGGTGGTCAAAAGTCCTTCATTACAAGCACCTGCTTGTAATTAAGTTGCTTGTCATTCAGGAATTTGCTGGTCAAAAATCCTTAATTACAAGCACCCGCTTGTAATTAAGCATTTTTACTTGTCATTAAGGATTTTTGCTTGTCATTAAGGATTTTTGATGGACAAAAATCCTTAATTAAAAGCACCTTGCGTGTAATTAAGGGTTTTTGCTTGTCATTAAAGGTTTTTGCTGGTCAAAAATCCTTAATTACAAGCACCTGCTTGAGATTAAGGATTTGTTGCTTGTCATTGAGGATGTTGCTTGTCAAAAATCTGGATTTTTGCTTGTCATTAAGGATCTGTTTCTTTTCCAAGATCCTTATCTACAAGCACCTGCTTGTAATTAAGGATGTGTGCTTGTCATTAAAAAATGCTGGTCAATAAGGACGCTCCTTGAGAATAAGGAATTCATTGCGGTCGCTCCTTGAGAACATGTGTTTTTTTGAAGGGGGTGGGGCGGGGGGGGGGGGCAACGCCGGCCGTATACATTGTGTTTTGTAAACTGGGCTGCGGGTGGGGGGGGGAGTCAGTCCCGAAACGAGGGCACCTAATATCTAAGGACCGTGATTGCTGGAAGTCCCTGGTTATGCTTTCATTTGGGCATCGCTCGCGGAATTTCTCAGTGCAAGCGCGCAGCAAACGTACCGGAGTTTCGCTTTTAGATGTGTCTGATGCCTGAGTCACCCTAAGCCAACAACGACTGACTGCTTTCATTTGGGCATTGCTAGCGGAATTTCTCAGTGCAAGCGCGCAGCAAACGTACCGGAGTTTCGCTTTTAGATGTGTCTGATGCCTGAGTCACCCTAAGCCAACAACGACTGACTGCTTTCATTTGGGCATTGCTAGCGGAATTTCTCAGTGCAAGCGCGCAGCAAACGTACCGGAGTTTCGCTTTTAGATGTGTCTGATGCCTGAGTCACCCTAAGCCAACAACGACTGACTGCTTTCATTTGGGCATTGCTAGCGGGATTTCTCAGTGCAAGCGCGCAGCAATCGTACCGGAGTTTCGCTTTTAGATGTGTCTGATGCCTGAGTCACCCTAAGCCAACATCGACTGACTGCTTTTATTTGGGCATTGCTAGCGGAATTTCTCAGTGCAAGCGCGCAGCAAACGTACCGGAGTTTCGCTTTAGATGTGTCTGATGCCTGAGTCACCCTAAGCCAACAACGACTGACTGCTTTCATTTGGGCATTGCTAGCGGGATTTCTCAGTGCAAGCGCGCAGCAAACGTACCGGAGTTTCGCTTTAGATGTGTCTGATGCCTGAGTCACCCTAAGCCAACAACGACTGACTGCTTTCACTTGGGCATTGCTAGCGGAATTTCTCAGTGCAAGCGCGCAGCAAACGTACCGGAGTTTCGCTTTTAGATGTGTCTGATGCCTGAGTCATCCTAAGCCAACAACGACTGCTTTCATTTAAGCTTCGCGAGCGGAATTTCTCAGAAATTGCAGGCTCACAACCAATGACTGAATTGCAAAGCCGGGTGTCCCCCAAGTTTGCGTTTTGAGCAAACAATACCGATTCCAACTGGTGATTGAACTGTTCAAAGCTGATCGCCTATGGAGCATTGGGTCATCTGTTCTACTGAAACGAAATTGCACGCTAACGACCAATGACTGAATATGTGCTCTACCAATGCCACATTGCAGAGCATGGGGTGTCCCCCAAGTTTGCGTTGCGAGAAAAGCCATGTCTGATCCCAACTGCTGCCTGAACGGCCCAAAGCAGCGATAAACATGGGTTCAAAAGCCTTGATTACAAACAACAACCTTGAAACACCTGGGATTGTGTCCCCTGGGGGGACACCCCCTAAGTTTGAGTTTCGAAGAAACAACTATTAACAGGGGCCCTCCAATTCATACATATGTCTAAACAGACTAGGGTTGCAAAAACACCGGACACCGCAAACCTTATTCTCAACCCCCCTCCTTATTCACAGGGTTTATGCAATTTGCCAGACTCTGCAAGCGGAAAACCAGCACGCCTTCACATGAGCCATCCTCGCTTCGTACAAGGATCAAACGGGCACAAGGTTTCTGGCTGGGACTGGCCACGAGCCTTCCCCCTCCAAACAATCTACACGTGGGAATGTGCCAAAATACCCTGACCTCCTCTTTAACCCTTCCAACAAGTGGTGCCCTCAAAACAAACACACACACACACACACAAACACAAACACAAACAGACGAACGAACGAACAAACGAACGAACGAACGAACAAACGAACAAACGAACAAACAAACAAACAAACAAACAAACAAACAAACAAACAAACAAACAAACAGAAGAAAGCAATCAAAAAACAAATACCACAAAAACAAACAATCAAGCAAACAAATCAAAACACACGCCCCGCCGTTCCACCTGCATTCTTCCATAGGACCCCTGATTCCTCAGAGCTGAGAACCCCTCATGGGGCATATGGACGTGGGTCAAAAAAAAAATGGTAACCCCAGGATGGGGCAAGCCCTGGTAAATGGAAAAACAAAGGGAAACAAAGACTGAAACCTACGGTCCGATTCCTGGTCTAATTTTGACCCGTAGCCACATCTCCTTGAGACAAACCCACCCTCGCTGACTGATCCAGGAGCCCCCGCTGCCCTTGCCCACGTACAAGTCCTCCACCCCATCAATATAGTCCACCTCCTTGAGCTGCCAAAACTCACCCAAGGCCTCCAAGTAGTTCCGCGGCACCTTACACCAAAAAGAAAAAAGGAATTCTCACGATGACCTCTTTTTGAGACAATTTATTTCCGCTGGCTTGAAAGGCACCATGGAGGCAACCTGTCTTCACACATGCTCATTTTGCTTCGAATGGATGAGGAGAACCCTTTCCAAATCAGGGGTGGGTTATGGAAAACCCCTGACGGGGAGATAGGTCCAATTTGGGGATGCATGTGTCCGCCAGATTTCCCTTAAAGTTGACACCAACGGCCAGCATCCCAGCCTGCCGCGCCCCAAACCTTTCGCGCAGGAGGACGCCGTGGGAGACTCCGTAGCCAGGCCACGTGTTCAGCCACACGACGGAAGTGAAGATTCGGGTTGGCATCACCTGTAAATCTACACCTGGTGGGCTCTAGTAAAAGCGGGGCTCCATATGCGGGGGTCCTTTGTCACGGAGCAGGGTCCAAAGAAGTTCAAACAAATCCGAGCAGCGTCATCCGTGTGTAGCATCACCCTCTCGATGTAGGGCGACAGCTCCTGGTAGAAAAAAAAAACGCTGGATGGTGGCGGCTGGATGGTGGCGGAAACCCAAACAAATCTGCAAAACCCTGGTTCTGGACGTGTGTGGTGGAAAAATGGACAAAGTCCAAAACCTGCAATTGAGGGTACAAGCAAAGCACCTTCAGGGCCCAACCAGGAAATCGCCGGCGAAGCTTTTGGGCCTTCAAGAGACTGAGGTTCGCTGATCCCTATCTGTGGTTCGCTGATCCCCGGCTTCATTTCTCTCACACCGCCAGCTTTGTGCTTGGCATTCGATCTGATAGCTTCAGAGACGGCCCTTCAGCTCAGGACTGATTCTGTGGATGAAGGGTTTGCGCGGGTGGGGCATATCCAGAAAAGAAAAAAGCAACTGCTGCCCCTGATTGTTCGACTCACCCATTTGTTGAACCCCAAAACCGAGAGGCCTTCGTTTTCAAAAACCGGCTTCGGGTGTTTGATTGGGTCGCGTTGTGAGTCCCAGATGTCAACTCAAGCCAAGGCTCTCCCCATGCATGAAATTCTGAGAATAGAACTCAGTTGCTTAGCCCGTTTGCGAGCCCTGGCTTTTTTTTTCCGTTACCTGTTGAGTGAAGACACCCAAGAACGGCACCTGAAAAGAACACAAACAAACAATTATGTGGCACCAAAGTGCAAGAACACAATGTGTCGATACACCGGCCCTTGTTGCCTTTAACAAGAGCCTCCCCTCAAAGTTCGATGTAACGCTGTTCTGGGTCTCCTCTTAGAACTCTTTGGAACTCACAATCCAAAAGAAGAGAAGCAAGAAGGAGTCCAAAAGCCTCCCGAATCAGTGGTTTGGGTTGATGGTTTGGGATTTGAACCCCTGGCTTTTGTAGAGGGCAAATGGGAAACCAAATAAGATAAAAAAGAGCCGGATCCCTCATCCTGTCCTTCAAGCGCAGCCCCAGCACCAGCGCGCCCAAGGCGTAGCCCGCGTTGGCGCCCCACAGTACCACCACGAAGGCGCGCCGGCCCCGAGCGCGCCGGGGCTGGCAGGGCGAGAAACCCCACGGTCAGTCATAACATATGGGTTGGAACAAATCAAAAAACAAAAAACGTGCCTAGCTTTGCTTCTCTTTGAACTCCATGCAAAAAAAGGGGTCCGCCCCGAAAAAAGACACACTCGGTAAGGCTGCTGCCGCATTGCTGAAAGCAATTTCATGAGCCTGGCCATGCATAACCATGAGACCGCGACCACGCAATCGCCTGTAAAATTGTTGGTCTACGTGCATCAGTCGCGCGGACCATGTTGGCATGCAAGTGTTTTCACGTCTAGTTTGCTTTATTTCCTTCTTTTCTTTCTTTCCTTCTTCCTTTCATTTTTTCCTTTTTTTTCTTTCTTTCTTTCTTTCCTTCCTTCCTTCCTTCTTTCCTTTCTTTCTGTCTTTCTTTCTTTGTTTCTGTTTCTTCTTTCGTTCTTTCTTTCTTTCCTTCCTTCCTTCCTTCCTTCCTTCCTTCCTTTCTTCCTTTCTTCCTTTCTTCCTTTCTTCCTTTCTTCCTTTCTTCCTTCGTTTCTTTCTGTCTTTCTTCTTGTTGCTCTTTCTGCTTGTGTTATTTTCCTTCTTTCTTCCCGTTTTTTCGTTCTGTGCATCTTATTATTCTCGTCTATCTGTCGATCGATCTTGCACGGTATCTGCGCCGGCCACAAAAACCACACTTGACCTTGCACAAAGTGTTGCACATGCCACGAAATCTGCGCTTCACCCTGCGCAAGCGATGCGGTTACCAGATCTGTACCTGACCTCCTTGTGCAAGCGCTGCGCCTGCCATGAGATCTGCACTTCACCTTGCGAAAGCGTGCGCCTGCCACGAGATCTGACCTTGCCAAAGCGCAGCGCTGGACAAAAAATATTTGCATGCGCATATGCACTATGAACGCAGACACAAAAACAGACACCTGCACGCGCACCTGCGCCACGCACATGCGCACCCGCACGCGCTCGACCACGCGCGCGCGCGCACCTGCACACGCACCTGCACACGCACCCGCGCCACGCACATGCGCACCCGCACACGCACGCGCTCGACCACGCGCGCGCACACGCACCCGCACCTGCACACGCACCTGCATTACGCACATGCGCACGTGCACACGCACGTGCTCGACCACGCACGCGCACACTCACACGCACCTGCACATGCACCTGCGCCACGCTCGTGCGCACCCGCACGCGCTCAACCACGCGCGCGCACACGCACCCGCGCCTGCACACGCACCTGCATCACGCACATGCGCACCTGCACACGCACCCGCACGCGGACACGCATGTGCACTGACACGCAGCCGGCCTGCCAACGGCTCAGGGAGGTCACAGTCACTTCCACAGGCCGGCGGCAGCAGGGGCAGCTGGTCTTGTACCACTTGTAGTCCTGGCCTGGGCTCACAAATGCTAAGGCGTGGGTCAAAAATACGATACCACCAAAAGAAGCTTGCACGTTGGGTAACTGGAAACGGACTAAAACCTGCGGTCCGATTCCTGGTGGTTTAATTTTGACCCATTCCCATTTGGTTCATACGCCGAAGGAATGCACCAGATTGCTCAGACCTCCATTCCCCAAGTGCAAAAAATGCCCAAAGCGAAGCTTGGGAGAGCCACCTTGCGTGAGGGTCAGGGAGCTTTGGGCAGCCGCACGCCAAGCTGTTACAAGCAAAACAGGAAAGCAAGAATCGCAAGAACTGGAAGAACCAGGGAAACGAAACAAGCAGAAGAAGAACCAGAATGAGAACCACCTGGTTTAACCTGTACCGAACATTGCAAGCTGCGCGGAAACGGCCCTACCGTTTGTTTTCTTTTTGCCACCAAAAGCCGGTGGGTTTTCGTTCGAGTCAATAAGGCCCATGCTGTAGCTGTGGGGCTCATAGACCTCTTCCTTGTGGCTGGTCAAGCGGGACTCAAGGCGAATGGCACCAAAGAAGTGCGTCTTCACCAGCTCGCTCTTCTCCTGAGGCGGAGAAAGTGTCCCCTCTCTCGGTCCCTGTAGCTTACATTTTTGGGGGTGGTTTGCCCAGAAAAACACGCTTGAGATGCTTGTGTCGAAGGACCAGGATTGGTATCTTTGGGTTCTTGAGGAGACAAATGGAAAACCACGTTCAAACCACTTGGGGCCCATTAGCTCAGCTTCGCTCTTGGTTTGGATTGGTGAGAAGTTAAGAGGTGGCTACCCATTCAGCCTCAAGAAGGGTTCAAAAATCCCCACCATCCAGACGTAAGGCTTACCTGAAACGCCCCTTTGCCACCTTCTTCAATGAACAAGCGGTCCGACAGGGCAGAACCGTCCTCACCATAAGGGATGAGCTGAACAAAAGAACAACGAACAGCTCCGTTAAAGTGACATCCTCCAAATCACCCAAGTAGCAGACAGTTCCAAAGGCCGTCACTGTGATGCACCCAGAACAAGTCAAGGCAGCTTGGGACTTGCTGATTCCCCCACCACAAAAAGAGTCGAACGGCACAGCCTTGGTGCCCTTTGAGTAGTTTGGATACAGCCCCCTTTTGTGAGTAAGTCCTGACCCGGGTCACAGTGCGGTGCCTTCGTCACAGTGTTGAAAGTTTTGAAAATGTTATGTTGGCACACCTCACCAAGAAGGTTTCTTGGTAGTCTAAAAGGGAGCACTCTGTAGCAAGTGATGTTGGCAAATCGAACTTCGCGATTTGTGCTTGCCGTGGGTCACACCGTTTTGTGCGGATTGGTCCTGAAAAAATGCATCATTGGAGGCATTACTTCAAGAATGATGTGAGCCCGAGGAGGGTGTACATTGACATTCTTGCCAGCTTGCAGTGCCAGCTATTCTCTCTTCTTTGCACTCAAGTATGCACTGCATGAACTGCATGATACCTGTTGGGTGTGCCTTCTTTAGGGGCCCAAAAAAAATCCCGGTGGTGGTTGTCCTTTTGGCTCCCCTTTAAACCAACCCCAGAGGAATCTCCTATTGGGTCCCCCCCAAAGGCAACCAGATATACTGATATACTTTCTACAGTTGGCTTCCTTTCCGGATGAGAAACCAGCTCCAAATATTTAGTGTTCTCCTCATAGTCTTGTAAGTGGCCCTAATTCGGGAAACCAAAGGACCAGGCCCTCGAGCCGAAAAAGTCCTGAGGCCTTTTTGAAGGAACGGTGAAAAGCCAGTTCCTGCGTTCAAACCGTGTTCTTTGATTCTTGTGCTGCGCCTTCGGGGGGCACGCCCAAAAACCCGCTGCTTGGGGTCCTGGTTGGCCTTTTGGGGTCATGTGAAACCCCCCCCCCCCGCCACGGCACCGGTCCTGCTCCAGCTGACGCGCGTAGGTGCGCCAGTAGTGCTTCTCGTGGCTGAGCTTGTGTTCGCGCTCCCTCAACCTACCCAGCTTTCTTCCCGGTTGACTTTTCGTGTTTCAAATTTTCTTCCAAAGGTGAGCCTTCGATCCCTGGTTTTTGGCATTCTTGAGGCCGAGTGCCTGAGTGGTTCAACGCCCTCCTTGTGGGTGTTCTTGAAAAAAAGGCCGTTCAAACCACTTGGCTTCCGGAAAAAGAAAAAAGAAAAAACGGTTTGAACCAGCTTGAACCGAAAAACTCTTTGAAACCACATGGCTGTGGGTCGAAATCCCGCACCCCCAGTGAACATCCCAATCCCCACTAAAATAGACTAAAATGGGTGGTGCACCTACCCCAAAATGGGATTCCATTGGTTTTGACCCACAGCCAAATGCCGGCCAACCCGCCTGGCCAGCTCCTCTTTCAGCCAATACTCCTGGCAGCTGAAGGTGTCAAAACCTCTCATCCTGGTGAATATTAACATCGGTGGCACATGGGTGTTCATCCGCCCCAAAATGGAGGCATAGATTATGACCCAAAACCCTGGTTAAAAAAAAAAAAGACCCCAGATATGGGAGCAACAGCACCCTGACCTGCTGGCTGCATCGTCAAAGGAGCACCGTCAGCAACCCCCACACCACCCTTAAGCATATCAAGCAGCACCCTGACCCAGACCAGCCAGCCTGCACGCCAAACAAGCACCAGCGGCCACGGCACCTTGAGCACATCTAAAAGCGCCCTTACGCCCTGCGTCGCCAAACAAGCACTGCCAGCACCATCACACATTCTCGCCAAACAGCACCCTGACCAGCAAGCACAACAACACCCCTGCATCGCCAAAGAAGCACCACGAGCAACTGCCACCGCACCTGAGCATCCTGACCAGCACCCAAAAATCGCCAAACAAGCACCACTGTAAATAAGCACTGCCAGCGAAATCGAAATCGGGCCAGGTGGGTGTTGCAGGTGCTGGTCAGGGTGGTCAGGGCGCTGGTCCGGGTGCTGGTCCGGGTGCTGTCAGGGTCCTGATCTCGTGCTTACCCCAGAAAGCTTTAGCTGTGGGGGCTCTTCTTTTCCAGACAGCTGAAAGCTATAGGAGTTCGTACTGCTAAAGAGTCTAAGCAGGGCAAACTGTTTTGCGAGTTCGGACCAGGTTGGTGCTGTTGTGGTTGTGTCGCGCAGGGTCCTAGGGTCCTGTTTGGGGTGTGCTCCAGGTGCTGCGTTGGTTGCTGGCAGAGCCTTAGGTTGCTCAAAGCGTCAAGCTGCTGGCAGTGCTGAACAAACCCCGCCCCCAGAAGTAAGAAGGGTGGAGTCTCCAAAGGCTAAGTTTCATTACCCGGGTTTTGACGCCTCAAACTGTGATGCGCAGAAAATCTCATGTCCGATTGAGGCGCCAAGGATGGCCTGAAAAAGGGCGCCAAGGATTGCAAGCTCATCCCAGCTCGCCCTAACAAACCTTTCTGCAGATTTTACCACAAACTCCAGAAATTTGCCTTGGCCCCCAAACCCGGGCCGACCCATGCCTTTGCCAAGGATCTTGGTTCTCCCTGATCAACCCTGCAAATCCCTCCGAAAACCTGTCCACTTCCCTGTCAAACCGATCAAATCCCCTTTGCTACCGAACTGGTCAAACCCCTGGAAGCCGATAGAAACCGGTCCACTTCCCATCCAGTCAACTCCCTGTAAATGGTAAAGACCGATTCAGATCCGGCCAAATCCGCTAAATCCCGTTCAACTTCCTCCTCCGGCCAAATTCCCCTTAAAACCGGTCAAATTCCCTTTCAGAAACCAATCCCCATAAAAACTGTAGAAACCGGTCAACCTCCCTTCTAGCTCTTTGCGGCTCGCGTTTTGGCCCTTGAAGCCAAGTGGAATCGCGCGGACATGCACCCACCCTCTACCTTGGAAACCAGCTCACGCATTTCGGCGCCGACTCACTCACTTTAATAACAACACTTCAAGGCAAACAAAAGCACAGCCTCTACCTCAAAGCCAGCCAAAAGCGGACTGGCCGAGGCGGGCAACGCGAAGCATTTACAATAAGAATTGGATCCGCAAGTGAAGGACCTTCGTGGCTTAACCCCCGGATCGGTGGAACCGCTCGCCATGCTTCAAGCGGATCGGCGCAGACCCTGCCTCACGCGAGGAGGAGGAGGAGGAGCTGCCCTCGCCCCGATCACTTTCCTCAAAATCGAAAAAGCGACAAAAGGACGAGGTGACCAGGTGAGCTCTTTAAATGGTCGACATCGAGCCCATGTTGCAGCCTTCCATCCAACAAACGGGGTGTGTCTAGCCGCAAGATTGCCTGCATGGCAACCGTCTTCCCCTCTACCCGCTGTTGGCGTCTTGGAGTGGGAGGTTTTGCCGATATGCTTCGCCCTGAACACTGGACTCCGCTGGAACTTGTTTGCCTGCCCCCACAACGCAAAGGCACTTCAAAACGGCCGAGAAAGAGGCTTGCCGCCCTTTGAGCTTGCTTACAACCACCCACCTTGCCCCAGAAAGAGGGTGTTTTCGTGGCTGGCTTCTTTTTCGAGAAAGGAAGATTAAAAACAAAAAAAAACGGCTTTCGTGGTTGCGTCTTGCCCTGCGTTTTTCGTTGCTTCTTTTTTTGTCCGGGGTATGATTGAGGCCGGGGAAAAACCAAAAGCCGCCCATCGATTGCTTCGGATCCAAAAGGCCTCGCCTTAGAGCCTTAGGCCCTGCCGCCGAAGGCTGGGGGGGGTGAGGACAAGTCAGGCCTTGGTTTCAACGGGAGATCAAAAGGACCCCAACCCCATATTATTTCCATGGCCTTTGTTACTTGAGCGCAGGCTGTCAAACATGTTTTTTCCTTTCAGTCTGCCAAACCACGCAAAAAAAAAAAAAACATGCCCCCTTGTCGCCTAGTGGCCAAACGCAATGCTCATTTTCCCAGGTGCTGAACAGGGGGTGTGGCAGAATTACCCATCCCCTGTTGTTTTGCCTTTGGTTGAACGGCTATGTTCGGGTTCCGTTAACGTTCTATCGAATGGATTCGAATGCTACGCAGCGTTTCAACCTGCAAAGGCCTCAAAGAATCAACAGCTTGGTCTGAGAGTCCTACCCCCCTTTGTTAAAACCGTCTCAAAAGTTCCGCTTTCTCAAAGTAGCACATGATGCCCACAGCTTACCCTTCCTCCCACGTTGCCATGGCACCGTAAAGGGAGGGTACCTGATCACTTCTTGGAGGGACCGCCTGGGTGGCACCATGGAGGAGAATAGAATCCGCTTCCCTCAATCAGCTTTTTACCTGGGAATTAACAGGAAACAAATAACAAGACCCGACCAAACCGGGCTACAAGCCACCCAAGGCTTGCGCAAGTCAACCCCCCCAAAAAATATATGTATATATATATATACATGATGATGATGATGGTGGTGATGATGATGATGATAATGATGATGATGATGATGATGATGATGATGATGATGATGATGATGATGATGGTGATGGTGATGGTGATGGTGATGGTGATGGTGATGGTGGCGGTGGTGATGATGATAATTGCAGCGAGGTGTCCAGCAGCTTTCTCAGCGGCTCCGCCTCCGCGTCCACGGCTTCAGAGGAGATCCCGCCGCCCATGGCGTCCGCCGGGGTTCGGATCGAAGCTTCGGCTTTCGTCCGAGGTTTCGGAGGTTGGAACCGCTTTGATTTCGGTTGGGTGCGGCGCGATTTTTTTCAGAGCCAGGGGAAACCGCAGGTTGTCTTTGGTTCCATTTACGCGAAGAATTATAAAGATCCGAAGGAAACAAAGGCAAATGGAAAGCCAATGGGTGTGTCTCAAACTTAAGTCTTTGGTTCCATGTACCTCTTGGTGCCATTTTGGGTTCCATGTGTTTTTTTTGAGCCACGGCCATTTTGGGGTGCTTCGGCTCTAAGGGAGATCCACTCTTCAGGGTCCAGATATGGGCGTGTGTCTTACTCCACTCCCGAAAAGGACATCAAAATCTGGTCCACTGGTGGGGATGAAACCAGCAACCACCTAGGAAACCCCAGCGAACTCGTGCAGTGTGGCATTAAAAAAATCCTTGCGCGCGGAAATCGGAAATCAGAAAGCCAACAGCTCCCACGAAAAACTCCTTGAGTCGAGGTGTGGTTTTCTTGTACGGCCATGGGTCAAAATCAATGGTACCATTTTGGGGTAGGTGCACCACTCATTTTAGTCTATTTTAGTGGGGATTGAGATGTTCACTGGGGGTACACAATCTCTGGGCGCTGGGTTGCGTATGACGAGCGAAGGCAATCCGAAGCAACCGGCCTGAGCTCTCCGGCTGGCGAGCGGCATGAGTCGAGAACTGCGTGCTATGGCTCAGATTCCCACTATCACCACCAAAAAGAAACTCAAGAGGTGCTTGAAACCACCCCAAGGGGGAGGTCGGGGAACACTTGTGCACCTCAAGATGCTAAACCAATGTCCATCAGCCTCCCTTAACTCCCAACCCCAACCTTGCGGAGAAGTCACCCACGGAGTCTAACCCCCAGACTCCGCGGCAAACGAGGCCGACACGAAAAAAAGGTCTTGTCCGAATTCGGCAACAGCAATTCACCAACTTGAGGTCCCATCACCGTGTCCAAAAAAATCAGTGTGCCCAACCTCCACCGCTTGCCGTCTCGATCCACCGTGCCTTCATCTCCCGAATGGAAGCTGCAATCCTGGGCTCGAAACAGAGGAGACGGGCGTGAGAGAGGTGAGCTTTGCGCACACCGCTTCTCAACTCCGTTGCAAGCACTTTCAGCCCTACCAATGGGGCCTGCCAGGTAAAAGGCAAAGGCTGCCCCCTCATGCCATGGGGTTAGTCAAACATGTCTGTTTCATTGCATCCTGCCTTTCAACGCAGCCAGAAAAGCCATCATTTGGACAAGGCAAGGAAGGAGCTGAGTGCCTTCCTCAGTGGTAAGTATGATGTTCTAGGGCTTGATTCCCCATTCTTTTCAACCCTCGTTCTTTTCAAAAACCAGCCGTTTTCCCTGGGATTGTGGAGGTTTAGCTTGCCAGAAAGAAGGATCCCTGGAAAGAATGGGGAAGGTACCCCTAGAGATGGCTGGAACTCGTCCGCACCAGAAAAAGCCTTCGTTGAGATGCCACGACGCCGTGTCGGACCAAATGCCGCTGGGCTCCCTGCTCTGTTTCACCAAAGACTCGGTCGAGCAGCGGATTCTCGAAGACGCTGTTCAGGAATGGCCTCGCTGCGAGCCCATTACAAAAAAAACCGCCGGCCAGGCCAAAGATGCCGGGGGAAGAAAAAAAACGCGTGGATAGGTAATTGTGTATTTCAGGGTGCCCTTTTTGGGGGATGTTAAGGGGAATCGAAAGAAACAAACTCGATTGTGGCCGTCGCACATGTGTCACATGTGTCTTTTGGCAAATAGTCAGCCTCCCTCAGCCACAGCCCCAAAGCGCCTGACCAGGAAGGCTTCTTTAGGCTTCGCACGCTGAGCTGGTTGGGCATGGAAACCCTTTCTAAGTCGCAGCGATCTCAGCAACAAACCCAAAGGATAAATCAGCCACCGTGAACACTATGGTGGATGCCCTAAATACTGCAAGCAGGCAACAAAGAGGAAATTTTGCAAATTCCCGTGGTTTGTGGTTGGCATACTTGCAATATGTAGGGCATCCACCGTAGGAGCACCAGCGCCATGAGGAACGCTTCACTGGCAGTGGGCACCAAACGCTGCCAAACAAGGTCGAAAGCCCCTCAGCCTTGCTCTGCAATTGGATTCCAAATGTTTGCATTCCGGCGGAAATCCTTTCGGGCTTTCGGGCCCCTGACAACAGCTTGGCAAAAAGGAAGTAGATCCGAAAAGGAAGGGAAAGCCCCAACATCCTCCGAAAACAGAGAAAACAAAACATCAACAAACAGAACGCCCCAACCTTCCCGACAACCTGAGAAAAGCATTTAAAAAAAAATACTCAGACCACCCGAATGCCCAATGCCCAACCAGACGTCTCAGCCCCAGACATGTCCCGCAGCCCGGCACCGAAGCGGTCCCAGGAGCTGCTGCGCGCCTTTTGAGAAAGCGAGAGTCGAGGAACGCGCCCGGCGCGCGCAGCGGAAGTTTTTTTCGCGGCCTGCGACCTAGGCTGCCCTCGGATCCCATGAAGCAAACATGGGCTGATGACAACCAGCTAGCTGATGCTAGCTGATGAAGCAGACACATCCGAGCAAAGTCGAGATGAATTGTCTGGGCTGCCGTCAGATCCCCCGCTTCAAAGTGGCTCACTTTTAGTGGGTCAAATTCGGAAACTACCCACTAAACCCACTAAAAGCCTAAAAAGGTAAGGGGACGGTGACTAACTTTGATTTGGCTACATTCGGAAACTACCCACTAAACCAACTAAAAGCCTAAAAAGCTAAGGGACCGGACGGCTGGGGACCACCAAGCTACCTTTTGGAGATTGGGATACTGATTAGCCAGAAAGGCCATTGCAACCTGAGGATCTTTTTTGGGAGACTGGGGGTACAATGCTGATTTGGAGCGTTAGGAACGATTTGCAACCATCTGGCATGACCATGAGTCAGTATTGGAGTGAGACGAGGATAGACCCAGTCAGAATTCATGTCCAGCAACATTGGAATTTGATGAGTAACCCGAATCCCAGACAAATAGCGCGTGCCGCGTGTCAACCTATATTGACTGTTGCTCATTGCATCAAATGGAAGGTTTGGCTGACATGCGATCGCCGTTTTTGGACGCCATACACTGCCCATTGGAGAGTTGGAGAGTTGAATTTCAATTGGGAACCACCTCAAAAGTGTTTGGCGGACATAAATCCCACCTAATCGATCTCCGCCAGAGGGTCCGGGACAAGTGGCTGGTGGACATGAATCCCCACCTAGATGATCTCGCCATTACGACTCACGCGCCGTTGGTAGACGAACGCTACGTTTGGGGGCTTGTGACCCCCCCCCACCTGCGACACCACCAGCGCGGACTCTGTAGCCGCCGCATCAGCGGCCTGCCCAAACAGGCAATGGGAACGCTTTTTGGAGTCCGGCATGCAACCAGGTCCTAAAACAGGGGTGCTTATACAAAAACATATATATATATATATATATACAGATATGATATACATATATAGACATACAAAATATGTGTATGAAAATATCACATATATATATATATATATACATATGTATATATATATATATATCCATGGTTAGTTCTGATCCAGAAACCTGGCCCCCAGCGGAGTCCTTTTGGCCCGGACAGGATCCAGGCGGCGAGGCCATGTGCTTCCGAGACATTCACATGAGCCATGGTCAAAACAAATCGATGGCTATGGTCGGGACCCAGAACCCATGGTCTAAAAAATCAATGGCTATGGTCGAATTAGACCAAAAACCATGTGAAGAGAAAAAAGGAAGGAAAACAAAGGAAGAAAAAAAGGAAACACAAGAAGAAAAAAGCGAAGGCGCCAATTTCTATAACTGGGATTTTCCTTCGCCTGCAGTTTCCCGGGATTTGATTGTGCCCTACATGAAATGAGGGTCCCAAAAGGGCCACCTGTTCTTGACAACCCAGGTACGCAAAGCCACCCATCTCAGACATGCGAAAGAGGTGCCTGAGTCGTGCAGATGTCCGAGAAATTCAGCAGACCGCTCTAATTAGATGACCCCTACAGTTGGATCAACCCCGCTGAACTGCAATCCCCTCACTGACCTTGAGGGGCCTTCCAAGCAAGTGCATCCGTTTGCTTGTCCGTCTGTTGGTCTGTCTGTCCGCCTGTCTGTCCGTCTGTCTGTCTGCCTGTCTGTCTGTCTGTCTGTCTGTCTGTCTCTCTGTCAGTCAGTCAGTCAGTCTGTCTGTCTGTCTGTCTATCTGTGTGTCTTTCCGTCTGTCTGTCTCTGTCTGTCTGTCCGTCCGTCCGTCTGTCTGTCTGTTTGTCTGTGTCTCTCTGTCTGTCTGTCCGTATGTCTTCTGTCTTCTATCTGTCTGTCTGTCTGTCTGTCTGTCTGTCTGTCTGTCTGTCTGTCTGTCTGTCTGTCTGTCTGTCTTTATTCATTGTTTTTTGTATTTACTTATTTATTTATTTCTTCCTGTCTGTCTGTCTGTCTGTCGTTATGCATTTCTTTCTTTATTTATTCATTTATTTATTTATTTATGTATTTATTTATCTCTTTCTTTCGTTCTTTCTTTCTTTCTTTCTTTCTTTCTTTCTTTCTTTTTGTCTTTCTTTCTTTCTTTGTTTTTTTTCTTTCTTTCTTTCTTTCTTTCTTTCTTTCTTTCCTTCTTTCTTTCTTTATTTCTTTCGTTCTGTCTTTCTTCTTTATTTCTGTCTTTCTTTCTTTCTGTCTGTCTGTCTGTCTTTCTTTCTGTCTTTCTTTCTTTCTTTCTTTCTTTCTTTCTTTCTTTCTTTCTTTCTTTCTTTCTTTCTTTCTGTCTGTCTGTCTGTCTGTCTGTCTGTCTGTCTGTCTGTCTGTCTGTCTGTCTGTCTGTCTGTCTTTATGTTTGTATTTATTTATTTTATTTTATGTCTTTCTTTCTTTCTTTCTTTCTTTCTTTCTTTCTTTCTTTCTTTCTTTCTTTCTTTCTGTCTTTCTTTCTTTCCTTCTTTCTTTCTGTCTGTCTTTCTGTCTTTCTGTCTTTCTGTCTTTCTTTCTTTCTTTCTTTCTTTCTTTCTTTCTTTTTT